AGCGAAAAAAGGGAAGATCTAACGGTCGGGTTGGATACAGGTTTAATACTGAGATGTAGCGAGTCCAACCTGGCTCTCGTCTGATGGAGTATAATGCGTACAGTCTTCCGAACAACGACCGGTTATGGCATGGTGGTCAGCAAAGGAAACGGGTCAGACGAGAATGGATAAGTAGGCGCACGCAGAGTTAGTCGTGCAGATAAGTTTGGAAGCCAAGTGGAGTGAGTCAAGAAATGAACAGGTTAGAGATGGAAATGGCTATATAAACACAGAGTGAACAAATTCAGCAGGCAATCGATGTGAGGAAGATATTGCATTGAGTCTACAGAGCCTAGGCGGATAAGATTCCGCTAGGGTGGAAGACGTCAAAGGGAAGCAGACTGTTCATTTGAAACTAGGTTAAAGCACGGCAGTAAAGTTTGGCTGTCCGATTGAAGCAAGATTGAAAACATAGAGGGCTGTAAGCAAATGATAGTGTCAGGATGGAACGGTTTACTGTTAAAGGGTGGAGAAGCGAACGAGCTACTACTTTTAGGAGCAACTATTGCGATAAAGTGAGAAAAGGCTTTGGGATATAACGCCTTTGACTGATATGTGGAACAGTCAACGTCGCTACTGAGGTAGTGAAGACAGAGCGTTTAGCCTTCGGGAAAATTTTCCGTAACTTTAAAATTGTCTAAAAGCAGGAGACCCGTCAGAAAAGGCTGGTTAAGTTGGCGCATCAACCTTGAGTCATACAGTTACTATGGGAGGACAGAAATAGTGGGTCAGCGAAATTGGATAAGTTAGGGTTTGTGGATGCTATATTTATAAAGGTTAAGCAAGTCCAGCAGGCTTGCGAGGTAAGAAAACTTGTTTCGGTTATGCAGCGCTTAAAACGTTTGCATTTCTATAGACTGGAAGCAGCCTAAGTGAAGGAGACAGGGTTAGAACACAGTTGGCTCTTCGGTTGAGGAAAAATAAAGATAGAGCGCATAACTGAAAAGCACATAGTCAGCTGGCAAGTATTACAGACAAAGAACGCAGATGGGAGAGTGGTTTTTGAGACAATAGAGGCCGAACCTTTAGGCTTCTGAACAATGGCCGATAAAGTCACAGTAGCCTGAGGGCAGGAGACCCAGCAGATGAGACCGGTTTAGTCGAGGCATTGAGCTTGAGTCGTACAGTTAAGATGGTATGACAAGTAGAGTGTCAGCATAAGTGAACATGTTATAGGTAGCAGATGCAATAGTAATAGGAAAGAAACAGTGCTGCTAACTCGCGGCGTCAAGAAAGTGGGAGGTTTTTCATGCATAACCTGTAAACCTTACAGCTCCGTATTCTCGAAGCAGTCAGAGAGGATACTGGTCAGCTGAGACAAAACCAGGCCATTGAAACTGGTTTTCCGGTTGCGGAAGAAATTAAACCGGAGTCGGATAGAAAGTGCAAATGGTCGGGATAAAAGAGGTTTGTAGATAAGAAGTGTAACCGTCAGTGTGGCGCTCATGGTAAAGGGAACAAAGCGCGTATTCTCCTGAAGGTTGGCCGGTAAGGTCTCAATAGTCTGTGAGTAGTCGGAGAGCAGGATACTGAGCAGAAGAGATTGGATTAGTCGGCGCGTCTTGCCTGTCGTACAGCTAAGGTGGGAAGAAAAATTCCTTGCGTCAGCAGAAATGGATGGCTTAGGTATGGCAAAACTATTTTAACGAAGGTTTAGAAAGTTAAGTAGAAGCTAGAAGGTTTAAATCTCGGTAGTGTGGAAGCAGTCATGGAAGAAGACTAGAGAGATGAGACTAGGTTAGGACAAGGTTTTGAGAGTTGGCTGTCTGATTCAAGAAGGCTTGAAAACATAAGCGCAGCAAGGAAAAGGATGGGGCGGGCTGGAAAATGGTTTACTGGAAAGGTGTAAGAAAGACAACGAAGTATCTCTGTTAGGAAGTATAGTGCGTTCCGTATTCCGAATATTGCCCATTAAATTCACAGCAGTCTGAGAAGTCGGAGGGCAGGAGACCGACCAGACGAGACTGGATTAGACGGTGCGTTAAGCTTGTGTCGTTCGGTTAATGTGGGAAGACAAATAGGGATGGTCAGCAGCAATGGACAGGGAAAGGCTACATTAGCAAATATAAGCAATTCCAGCGAGCCTTCAAAGTGTGGAAAAATTAGCACTTAGTCTGCGCATCATAGACCGTCTGCATCTCGGTAGGCATGTCTACCGTCATAGGGGAGACTGTTTAAATGAGGCTAGGTCAGAGGGGCACTGTATTTGCCGCCCGAGTACAGAGGAAACGAAAGCAAAGGAAGCGATAATGAGAGGACAGATTCGGGCTAGATGGAGCTTTAATGATGCTGGTTGAAGAACCGGACAACGCTATGCGCACACTGAGATAATTCCGAGCCATTTGGTGGTTTTAGATATGAGTCTATAAACGACGGTAGCCATCCTCCCTGAGCTGGTGTTAAAGGATGCAACTGCCCATGGTCTCCGCTACGTTGGGGCGACCTTGTGGACTTATAGCGCGTTGGTCTAAAGGCAGCTATCCAAAACTCAGATTCAATTGGCCAAGCAAAGGCGTGCGGCTGAACAGACGAAAATAAGCTAGAATAATGTTTATCAGAAGGTTGCTCCATGTTGAGATTAAAAATAGGGCGCCGTTAGATGACTAGCTAGGTGTAAGTGGTAGGGTTCTGAGTACGCACGGAAAACTGAGGTTCTTTTTTGAACCCAGCTGACGAAGCCCGGATGCTGTCGGTGTGTTTCATACAAACGCGTGCACCATACCAACATACAAAGCACCAACTTTCTTAAAACAGGAGAAAACTTCGAGTTCATAGTAGTTGGGGTAGTTTACGCATCAAGCGAGAGAATCTGCCAATAAATACACAGCCTGTCCTAGAAAGGAAATCGTGTGTGAACCTTCTATCTAGGTGAGGACCGTCCGGAACTAGTCAGCCTCCTGCGGACTAGGTGGCAAGAAATGAGGCAGCTTCTGGGGGAGAACTATTAAGCTCGGAACCAAACGGGTTCCACCCTTGTCTCCCTAAAAGTGCCAAAAACGCAAACTAGGAAGGTGTTCGTGTGCGAAAAAGCTTCTCAACCAAGTGAACGGCAACATTTTGCTTGGGAAGGCTGGCTTTTCGCTTTCACCCATTCTCCCCGGTTTGCACATGAAATGATAAATGGTGTATGGTGACCATGGTGACGAAGCCAAACCTAACATAGTACTTACCGAATAAGGAAGCACCGACAAAAATAAACCTAAGGTTTCAAAACGTTTTTGTCTCTTCTGTTATTCTTACGGGGTTAGCCAGAAAGCAAGGGAAAGCGTGAAAAGAGAAACTGAAGGAAAACAAATGTTTCAAACGCGCTAGCCAATGAACTGGATTACCTGAACTAGACGATTTCTTCTGCTCGGGTGACGAGGTTGTCAGCTTAGGGTATATGGCGGATCGCGTGGCTGTGAGAGTGGATGATGATTTGCCGCTGTGCTCGCTGGACATCGTTGAAGCCGAGGTAGGTTACTCACATGCATTGTTCTCTTTGGAGTCAGTAGCGCTAGAAGACGACGTATCTTCCGCCATAGGCTGTTTTTGTTTCTTTGGAAAATGAGTAGGCTTCGTCCTTGAGCTCAGGTTCCATGCGGGCCAACTTGCGGCGGCCCATGTTAACGGCTTCAAGCTTTCCGTATTGGTGGATGATAAATAGACGATCCGTACGTTGTGGAACACTAAAAGGACCTTCATAAGGTCGCTTAAGTGGTCTAAGATGGCCGTCAACAAGAAGAAAAACAAAAGGGAAGTACTGAAAACTTTAACGTAGGAATAACATGCTGTTGTTTTCTGGTGTCAATAAGCTTAATCTGACGCATGCTCATGGCTAACAGTCGAGCGCAGTTTGCATCATAGCAAGGATTTTGGGACTCACAAAAGGAAGTAATAAGGTCAACGTAGAGGTTGTTCAAATATTCGTTCGGCGTTGGACGTATGCAGGTCGGGCTTAGGGGATAATTGGCTGACAAGAAGTATCTTGGGCAGAGCTTCAGACCAACTCAGTTCATTGGCGGCGCTGAGGGCAGCTTCCAACTGTCGTTGGAAAGATTCCACCATGTCGTTCGCCTGTGGATGATAGACGGTAGTACGGATTCCTCGGCATCCGATGACCTTAAGGAGATCATTGAAAGTCACACTTCAAACTGCGGACCGCGATCGGGAGTCGCTGTGGCTAGACGACCATGTGAAGTAACCAAGCGCTTGGCAAAAGAGCGTGTAACCGTTACCGAAGCTAGGTCAAGGATGGTGAAGACTCTTTCAATCCGTTTGCATGGTAAAGTATAACTGGCAATATGTCTTACGGACCAAATATACACACGGCTATTCGCCGTTATGTGATCTTGTAGTGACCATGACATTTTACTCCATCAAACATCACATCCAGACTGGTACACATTTTGTTTTACTTTGCACCCATCCCAAGCCTATATATACTGGACTGCAATTTTGAACCTGGTTCGCCATCTTGTCCGCGCGTTGCCGGCTGTTGCGTTCCTACGTGGTGTTACTCATTGCTTCACCACTCTCTCCCATTGTCCTCAAGCTATATTTACATAGCTATTGTACATAGCTATTTTCTCAAGACAATCTTTATATCCCGCCGTCTTCTGTCTCACCGGGCTACGGTTTTCTTGTGTAGCATTCGTCAAGGCGCTACATAATTGGTGACCCCAATCGCATTCCGGTGAGTTCGTTCCATTTTTTTGGTTTTTTCACGCAAACCATGACATCAGTTTCTAAAAATTGTGAAGACCCACAGCCTGTGCAAGCGGTATCTCTCGTAGTTCCACCCTTTATTGAAAAGGATCCCGTTTTGTGGTTCATGATTTTAGAAGCTGAATTTACTTCTATGCATGTTACCAATGACTCTGCAAAGTTTAATCACTTGCTAACACGCCTGCCGACTGAGGTTACTTTAGCACTACGTGATCTTATCATTACATCTTGTCTTCCTGACCGCTATAATTCTCTCAAGAACGCAGTTATAAAGCGTGTTACTCCCTCAGTGAAGTCCCGCCTGCACAAACTTTTTACTGGTCTACAGCTAGGTTCTAGTAAGCCATCCGCGCTATTTCTAGAGATGCGTGGTCTCCTTCAAGGGTTGCATATGGACGAGTCGCTGCTTCGAGAGTTATGGCTTCAGCGTTTGCCTGAAAACGTACAAGCTATGCTATCGCTTGCGAAATCGCAGCCTTTGTCAGAAGTTGCAGATATTGCTGATGATATGATGGATCGCTTCACTGGACCACTGTGTCCGTCGTCTAGTTCTCTTCGCTCACCTGACGTACGTTTGACTGCTGACCCTTCGGTCCAAACCATCGACACCGCTACTCCACCTTCGACTGGTGAGCCCTTAGCAGAGATAGCCGCGCTACGGCAAGAAGTTCAAAACTTAAAGTTACATCGGCACCCATGGGATTATCCATCCCGTTCCCCTAGCCTATCTCGAAGACGAACACGACTTCCAATTTGCCGTTATCACGCACGTTTTGGAAGTTCCGCTAGAAATGGTATAAAACCATGCTCATTTCCCGTAACGAGAAAAAGGACAGGACGACACGTATTGGCGACGAACGCCGTCGGCCGAAGTCGTCCAAATCGCCTCTTCAAAATCGTTGACAGGAACACCGGGATCATGTTCCTGGTTGATACCGGGGCGGAAGTTAGCGTGATCCCACCGGTTCCAGGCGACACGACTAAGCCACAGACAACTAACTTGAGTGTGTAGTGCAACTGAAAACATGCTCTTTCAGTATCTTATAACATTGGATTTTATGGTTGTTTTAACCTTCGAAACGTCCATTTGTTTTACTGACTGCACATCCATGGTCACAAACCGTTTTGGTGAGTTCCTCGCTGCACGTTCCTCGCTCTCTCTGATTCGCTTCCTATTTTTGTAGCCTGTACAATATACGTTGGGTTCAGTTGCCCTTGACTTCTATACTGTCGTATTTGACACGTCTTACGTGTCATTGCTCACCGACTAGTATCCCAGGTTCCGCCCAACAATTGGTGACCCCCTGTCAGGAACACGCCGCCCGCCATTTTGCATTTTCACTCTGGTGAGCTCGTTCCAGTGATTTTGTGATTCATTACTTGTGATCATATTGTTTTCTCACCTGACACATTTTTATCTGCTTTTTGCAATGGATAATCTAGAGGATAAGCGATCTCCATGCGCGGTTAACGCCGTTCAGCCTGCTATGGTGAATTCGGTTGCATTGGCCCCTCCTTTTTGGGAGAATGATCCTTTATTATGGTTTTTGCATTTAGAATCCGTATTTTATATTCGTAAGATTTCTTTTGATTTCGCCATGTATAACCAGCTAATATCTTGCCTTCCACAGAATATATCCTCGCAGGTGAGAGACATCATACTTTGCCCCCCTCTAGTAATGAAATACGAGACACTTAAACAGGCTATTATTCAGCGAATCACGCCTTCTGACAAGGTCCGTCTGCAGCAACTATTTAGTGATCTGCAGCTAGGAGATAGGATGCCCTCAGCCTTGTTGCGCGAAATGCAACAGCTCATCGGCACGTCCAACATGGACGTAGGGATTCTCCGCGAGCTGTGGATGCAACGCCTTCCTGAAAGCACTCAAGCTATCCTTGCAGTAGCAAGTGACTTGCCAATCACGGCAATTGCAGATCTAGCAGACCGCGTCATCGAACGGCACCAGCCAGAGACTGAAACCAAAGCACTTCAGCAGCTTTGCGCTGGCGCAACCACGACAGGCGCGACTAGCCCTCCGTCGGCAATAGACGCATTATCATTGCAGATAGCGTCGCTTCAGCGCCAGATCAAAGAACTCACCTTAAAACGTAAGCACCGCAACCGCTCTGGATCATCGCACCGTCGCACAAAACCTGATGCCTCAGGTTACTGCTTTTACCACTCGCGTTTCGGTACTAAAGCATGTAAGTGCGTACAGCCATGTAGCTACTCCGCTATAGATGATTCGCCACGCCGGGCTGTAATGGCTACGAACGTCGGCAAAGCCCAAAGTCGTCTCATCTACATTAGGGATTATGACTCCGATACCCAGTTCTTAGTTGATACCGGGGCGGAAGTCAGCGTCATTCCCCCTATGCCAGGTGAGCCTACCGCTTCTCTGTCGACAAGCCTCAGTGCCGCCAATGGCACGCCAATAGCCACCTATGGTCAGCGGTCACTTACCCTGGACCTAGGTCTTCGGCGCACGTTCCGCTGGGTATTCACCGTCGCTGCAGTCCCCTTTGCCATCATCGGCATTGACTTTCTCAGGCATTTCGACCTCTTGGTCGATGCGAAACGCCAGATGATAGTCGACACTGCAACAAAACTCAGCGTACGTGGCAGCACCGCCGATGTGACATCTATATCCCCGGTCTATGCATTTCCCCAGACCTCGTCAGCTTACGCTAATCTCCTTTCTCAGTATCCCAAGCTCGTTCAGCCAATGAACGCAGCTTTGCCCGTGGCAGCTCAAGTCACGCACCACATACGGACGAATAGCCCACCTGTGTCATGCCGTCCACGCCGACTATCGCCTGAGAAACTAAAGGTAGCTAGGGCGGAGTTTGAGCACATGCTTGAACTTGGAATAATCCGCCCTTCCGACAGTCCTTGGTCCTCGCCCCTGCAGATGGTCCCCAAGAAATCTGGTGACTGGCGCCCTTGCGGTGATTACCGCGCACTCAATCGCCTAACCGTCCCAGATAGGTATCCCATCCCACACATGCAGGACCTTACCGCATGCCTCACAGGTAAGACGATCTTCAGCAAGATCGATCTGGTTCGCGCCTATCACCAGATACCTGTGGAAGACAATGACATTCCTAAAACAGCCGTCATCACTCCTTTCGGTTTGTTTGAATTTTTAAGATGCCATTTGGACTGTGCAACGCCGCACAAACCTTCCAACACTTCATCCACGATGTTACTCGTGGCCTAGACTTCGCATATTCCTACCTCGATGATATCTTAGTAGCCAGTTCATCGGAACAAGAGCACCTCGAGCATCTTCGAGCTCTCTTCCAGCGCTTGACCCAACACGGTGTCACAGTCAACCCGACTAAGTGCGAACTCGGCAAATCAACGGTAGAATTCCTAGGCCACCTCGTTTCATCGTCTGGTATCGAAGTCCTTCCTGATAAGATCCAGGCAATCAAGGACTTCCCAGCTCCGACTTCCTTCAAGCACCTCCGTCGATTTTGTGGTTTGGTCAACTACTATCGACGCTTCATTCCGCGCTGCGCTCAGCTCATGCAGCCACTGACTGACTTACTCAGAGGAAATGAACGTAAGTTCGCTTTCCCTGACACAGCACAGGCAGCCTTCGCCGAGCTCAAGGATGCTATCTCCAACATAGCCCTCCTCGCTCATTCTGAGTCGACTGCACCTCTTTCTATTACGACTGATGCCTCAGACGTAGCAGTAGGAGCCGTCCTCCAACAACACGTTGGGGGGCAATGTCAACCCCTTGCGTTCTTCTCCAAGCGCCTGCAGCCAGCGGAATCCCGCTACAGCACGTTTGGCAGAGAACTGCTCGCCATTTACCTAGCGATACGTCACTTCCGGCACACACTTGAAGGCCGCGCTTTCACGGTCTACACTGACCACAAGCCCCTTATATTTGCCTTCAACTCTGCCTCCGACAAATACTCACCACGGGAAACAAGACACCTAGACTTTGTCACGCAGTTCACTGCTGACATACGTCATGTCTCAGGTGTCGAGAATCCCGTCGCCGACGCTCTCTCACGCGTCAACCTCACTCTCCAGTCTTTGCCTACCTGTCGACCTTGCCGCAATGGCATCGTCTCAGGCTCAAGACGAAGATATACGGCGCACTCTGCAGTCCACTTCGCTGCATGTGCAACCTGTTCCTCTCCAAACCACGGAAGGAACCATTCTCTGTGACACGTCCACTGGTTGTCCTAGACCTCTCGTGCCCGCCTCCTTCAGACGCACAGTCTTCGACTCACTGCACTCACTGTCACACCCTGGTATCCGTGCATCTTTGAAACTGGTCACCGAACGTTTCGTTTGGCCACTCGTAAACAAAGATGTTCGTACCTGGGCTCGCGCCTGCCTTCAATGCCAGCGCTCTAATTACATCGTCACACCCGCAGTCCTCTTGGTTCATTTCCTGCCCCGGACTCTCGGTTCTCGCATGTACACTTAGACCTGGTAGGTCCATGGCCTCCGTCACGCGGATTTGTATACATTCTTACATGTGTCGACCGCTTCACCAGATGGCCAGAAGCTATCCCCGTAACAGACTGCACAGCTGAGACTGTTATCCGGGCCTTCTTGGACCGATGGGTCTAGCACTACGGATGCCCATCCACCATCACAACTGACAGCGGAACGCCTTTCGAATCTTCGCAATTCGATACGTTTTGCAACTTCTTAGGTTGCCGCCGCATTCATCCACAGCGTATCACCCAGCAGCCAACGGGTTGGTTGAACGCTTCCATAGACAGCTTAAAGCCTCGCTCTGCGCCTCCTCCGACCCTAGCTGGAGCGAAAACATTTCGCTCGTACTCTTAGGCATTCGCAGCAGCATCAAAACTGACTTGCAATGTGCACCAGCAGAGTTGGTTTACGGCACGACGCTCAAGTTACCAGGAGAATTCGTTTCACCTCCCGCATCGTCGGGTATGCCTCCGCCTAACTTTGCGTCCTCCCTAGCTCAACGCATGCGTTCACTACGCCCGACCCCGCCTCGTGAGCAGACTAGAGATGTGCAAATGCACAGCGGACTCTCTACCTGCACTCACGTCTTCCTCCGCACCGACGCAGTGCGGCACCCTCTTCAGCCTCCCTACACTGGCCCTTTCAGAGTTCTGCAACGGACTCCGAAACACTTACTTTGGACCAGAATGGTCACCGAACAACGGTGTCCATCGACCGACTCAAAGTGGCTTTCTTTGACGAGCCACTTGCAGCTCATCCTGATGCTCTCGCACAAGCACCCGCACCTGTAGTGACTTCCCGAGCACTGGATAACCCGGATCCCTCCGTACCCCTTGACCCGCAACCTATCCCGCCGCAACCCCAGGCAACCGACCGACGCGGTAGACAGGTCAAACGTCCGGTCCATTTTTCCGATTTTGTAAACGTTTGCCATTTCCATTAACACGCCTTTTTCGTCTTTGATGGTTATACTGCGTCTCACCCACAAACGTTTTGCAAAATCGACAAAAGAAACCAAAACATTTTGAAAAACCTAAAAAGCGTATTTGCTTTTATCATACATGCCATGTTCCCTCTCCGGCGTCAAGCCACTTCCCTGACCCTTGCCAACCCCCTCTGAGTTTTACCTTCCAGAAACTCAACCGCCGGAACTGCCCAGGCAACCCTCGAGTGACTCGCCAACCGGCTCAACGCAACCCTCGAGTGACTCGCCAACCGGCTCAACGCAACCCTCGAGTGACTCGCCAACCGGCTCAACGCAACCCTGGAGTGACTCGCCAGCAGTCCCACAGCCCCCTTCCTCACCCAAGGAACCGACAGTCGCCCTCGACCGCAGACACCCACGAACGAATTGGTCCCCAAACGCTTAGGCATTGCCGACGAGGACGCCGGATTTCTTCGTGGGACGAGGACCGTGGACTAAAGTGCGGTGGGGGGAGTGACACCTCCCTAGCGCACCGTCGGGTCTGCAGCAATGGGAAGGTCCTGTCGGCCTTTTTTCTGGACTAGCCAGTTTTTTTGCAGTCCGGCCAGCCC